GTGCTGTTCATTTTGATGTCATGCCTTTTTTCTGCTTCTTCTTTTTCTTCGAAGATCTTTGCTATTGCCAGCATTACACACATCATAATCATCATCAGATTGGGTGCCCAATGCGCATTACACTGCACTCTGTGCTTTGTGGCTACCATCTATGGAAAACGCATTTTTGAATCGTGTGAATGTTATTTATGTAGATCGTTTCGTTTTTATTTGTGCTAGACGTACGTACGTGTGTGTGTGTTGTGTGTTTGAGTGCGGGCGCACACAGATCGTCATATTCAGCGCATATATTCTGTGAATTTTATTTCGACAGACCGGACAACCCATTTGGCCCATTCAGTGAATTGCCCATCTTTTTCACAATGTGAATTTTATCATATTGTGACCACAAAAATTAATTCACACATAAACGGATTGCATTGCATAATCACACGATGTGTGGTAAAAATTGGCCATTTGTTTTCGGCTTCTATCTCTATATGTCGTGTATTTTTATTGAATGTATTATGCGAAAACAACAACAACAATATTTTCTACGCTCTCGTGTTCCATTCAAAACGCAATCTCCATTCAAATGAGGAATGCCTTTGTTTCAAAAGCGAATTCCGTAAATGCGATTACGATTGTGATTTTTTTTTTATCGAAAATATCTGGGTGACATTTGTTTATATGACAAATCGCCATTTTCACCTTAATCCAATTGCAAGCATCATATCATAAATCGAAAACGAATAATTATCGCTATTTGCGAAGCAGTGCGAAAGAAAATTTCTCTATCGGATATCGAGATAGTTTTGCACATGCATCGCATTTTCGCTGTTTCTCTTAAACGATCATCAAATTGCCGTTTATCACGCGCTCGCTTTTCAAAGATGAAATAATAGCTGCGGCTAACTAGAAACACAGCCGACACGCTTAAAATCGTCGAAAGTAGCGATTTGTTTTTGTTTCGCTTCTTTCTTTATTCCAGATGATAGTTTTGAGAATGAAAAACAGTGCAGCAGCGGCGGCGAACACATAAATGAAAAATGGATGTCGTGCAATCAATTAAATAGACGGAAATCTAATCCACTAATAGCGTTGTTATTACTTTTTACATTTCGCCTTTTAAAATTACTGTAATGACCATAACAGAGCCGCGATCGAGTTTTTCGATCTCTTCTAACTATCGTATTTAAACGAAGCAATCATCAACAGGAAAAAAACGAGCGCAATCGAAAACTAAGATGAAGAAGTGTTCAATCAAATAAAATGATCTGAGGAAGAAGCACAAAAACATTGTTCGAACAATTCGAAGCCAAAGAGGGAAACGAAGCGATCATTTTGTTTTTCTGATATTCGGAAATTTGTTTTAATTGGCTCAGAAAAAAATTGTTAAAAAAATGTGCAATGAGAAATCTATTATCGCGAAAGTGCTTTTTTATATGCTTCACCGTATTTGAATCGTGAGGTATGCCGAAAAATGAAAATCTGTTTCATTTTGATTTGCAAAGATAAAAAGAAACGGTGCGATTCATCGGCATTTCGTTTGTTACAATTTCGAATTTTTCATTGATCGAAACGAACATACAAAAAAAAAACACTCACCATTTAGTGTGTTACACACGACGTGGCAAGAATATAGCATTTTCACTCATATTATGTGTACCTTGTTAAAAGGTCGTGTGCGCGAGAAAAAAAATCAACTCAAACGGAATGTGACTTTTTCGGTGATATTTTGCGATGCACAGCTTGTCACGCCAGCTTAGTCTTTTTTTCTTCAACTTAATCGTCAGTCTAAAATTCGAAATTCCACAAAGTCGTCTACTAGCGCAGTTTTAAAACTCATATGTATGAATGAGCGTGTGCAACAAATGCATATTGGCATATGCGAAAGAGTAGTGATTTAATGTGGTTTGTATATGGGCTTGATGTGAACCGTGTTAAACACGATGCAAAAAGACCATGTAAATAGTAATTTATTTGATGGTTATTCATTTTCTTCGCGTATGTGTGTTTTTTTTTCGGGGTGATACCTGAACCAGCTAGTTTTTGATTAGATGAAATGCTTTGATGTTGCCAATTTCACGCAATTAGAAAAGATATCAACAGATTTGAGCACCACATGCATTTGGTTTGAAAGCAACAGTGGTTTTTTTTAACCGCATTCGAAAACGGTTGACTTTTCAACGAACCAAGCTTTCGAATTAATGCTCATGCCCATGTGAATACTTGTTTCATGTGCAAGCATGCCGTCGATGACTGTTTTTAATTTGTAAAAGAAAATCCAACAAGTGCAACCGATGTCAATAAATGACTGTCATATACTTCGAAGATAGTGTCTTTTCACTTGGATATCCGTCATTTCGTCTTGTTTTTTCGTACGAAAAAAACTGTGCGGCCTGAGTCATTATTTACTATTTAAGTGAAAAGAAATCTGCCTGTATCTCCTTTAAAATATACAAATACTGTGCCACTTGTACTTTGCCTATGGTTTTGGGTGTTATTCAATCAAATCGTCGGTACTTCATATGGAAATCTCTCTTCATTTAGAGAGTCGCAAATCTTCTTCGCAAACACATACCCAAAAAATAGGTACCTTTTTTTACGAAGCGATGTGTGTCGTGTGCCACGCCGATGAATTACAATGTAATTGAATGTAAATAACTTAATTGCCAAATGTGAAATACGATATGAATGTGGAGCCAAATTGACCCATTCATGACGCCGGCCGAAAGTAAATTAATACTTTGTTGTTACTTTGTTGCACGAGTAACCTTCATAGATCAGGTGACAAAGTGTCTAATAAAGTTGTATTTTAAAGTCATTTTTTTTTTGCGATAATTTCTCTATTTCCACATGGTTTTTGTGTGCGTGAATGGCGGAGAGCAAGAGTGAAGAGAGAAAAAAATTTGTCATTTAATCTCTATCGAATTAGTGTCAAACGAAAGGAAAAGTTGTTTCGATTGGCATTTATATATGTGTTATGCGTACAGCTGCGATAAATATTCGTTCATTCATATGGATTTGAGTGTGTTATAAAATCGATGAGAACCAGAATCGCAACGACGTTGTCGAGCTGTTTATATTTTTATATGGTCGAGTTTTTATTTCAAGGACATTAAATTCATAAAACATGTAATAAAATTAAAATCGATGGTGATCGAGTAAATGGTGCGAGAGCCACAAATATAACTCTATATCAAACACGATTAATTAACATAAAGCATTAGATTCAAATCATAGGTTAAACATAGAGACACTTTCATTCTAAAGTGATCAATAAAGTTTTGTGGCATTCATCACATTCATTTTTTATTGGTGCTTTGGTTTTCTCTCACATTTCGGATGACTCTTCATGCTGGTATGTCACATATGCCCCTCAAACCACAAAACCATTTACATTCGAGCAACAAAAATTATAATAATAATCACAACATGTATTTCTGGTTTTCGTATACTGTGCTCACTCTTTTTTTTTGCTACTCTCTCGATTGTTTTCTATTCAGTACACTCACACAAGTACTGCCAGAGTCTCCAAAGATATTTATTACTTTGTATTCCGAGCACTGTATCGCAATCACTCTCGCACAATAGCAATGAGGTGTGTGTACTGTGTATGCATGTTTTTCTTCTATTTTTTGTTTCTTTTCTATTTTTATTTCTTGAGTATTTTTAATAATAATCATTACTAAATATGCAGCAACCTGTTGAAGCCGTAAAATGTGTACGCGGCTGATATTACGTTAGTTCGTGTAATTTGTAAGTTATACACGCCGAATTGTAGATAGAAGAAAAAAAACACAACAACAGAAAGATTGAATTACAATTTGGTGTCTTGTAAAGATCTTGTACGATTAGGTAAGAAACTAAGATTTGAATCAAGCTCCGATTCTTCAAATTCGGAATTCAGATCGCGTGCGGTCAAAACAAAATCTAAAAAGTGACGTGATTCATAAAAGTTATTCGGTTAAATGAAAATTAAAAGTCTTTTTACAGTCATCTTAATCGAAACGTCGAATTGATATATTTGCATAGATTCCATCGTTTTCGTTATAAATTTTAAAGCCGTCCAACCAGTATATACCAAATTGGTTACCAAGAGATCTTGCAAGGCCACATTCGATTGGAATTTGAATAAAAACGTAATTTTAACGAATTAGTCACGAGGGAAATGTTCTATAGTAATTACCGAGAATTCTAGATTCCATACCTTGACGCTTTTGCTGGCTTGATTATTGATTTGAGCAATGCCCATTGAAAATATTCGATATCGAATCAACAACACATACACACAAAAGCAAAATTGGATAGACGCCGAAAAAATTATGTCATGAAACTGGTAAATTCGCATTTTTACGCCATTTAATCGATTTAATTTTTCGATCTTGTTTAAAAGATCGCATATGTGTAATTTTTATATTACGAAAAAAAAAACACCAAAACTTGATCAAAAAGTGTGTTTTGATTGGTGTTAACTTTCGTGTTTATTACACTTTATGCGCATGAAGTGTTGAGTGGCATGTAATTGATCTGCATTTGACGAGGCGCATGTACTTTATTTTCGTACAAAAATGGTCGTCCAAATGTCGCCATACATGGAACTAGTAGCTAACGGTACTAAAAGTGCTCTCTTCAATTAAGACCATGGTGCGCTGACGAAATTGAATGTGTGGTAATTGAATTTCCAAAAATAAAAAGTCGTCGGTATTCGATTTCCAATTCGATGACCCTCTCTTATTATCGATTTGAGTAAATAATAACGAAGAAAAAACGTGTTAATTATATATTCGCAACAGGCACCAACACAGTCGTCGAATTTGAATTTGTAACGGCGTCCGCAAAAAAATATGACAGTTTTTTCAAACTGAATCGATTTCATTAACTTCAAGCCACTTCAATATATGCAAGTAGCATGCCGATTATTAATAAAATAAAATTGAATAAAAGTGCGTGCTCAAATAAAACAATCGAAATTCATATGAATTCCAAAGTGCATTCAATTGATTGTGATCACTTACCGGAAGCATTTTCGATGATTGATTTTTTTACCGATGAATAATGAAAGAACACACGTCTCACTTCGAGTTCTTGGAAAGAAAAATCTTTTAAAAAAGATATTTCGACGCGTTGTCGACTCTTAAACACCGGATTTTTCCTTTGAAAGTCTCCTGCACTTCGTGTTTATTTTAACTTAAAAAAACACACTGAAATTAAATCACGTCCGCTATCACTTTTCACTTATTTTTCGTCTTCGTGCAAATATTGTCACTTTGGATTTATTTTGTTTGTTTTTTCGTCGTTTTTTCAAAAAGACCGCTTCACCAAACTAATCAGAAAGATTTTGTCTCTCGATGCCGTACACAGAGACAGTGATGATACTTCATTACGTCCGCTTCCGTAACTAATCTGTAAATAAATGAAACGAAATTGACTCTTTAATTAGTATGTATGAGATAATGTGTATTTGGATTACAAAATCAATCAATAAATCAATTAATCAAAACGTAAGAAAAATTGCCGCACAGCAAATTATATAAAAATTCTGTATAAAAAAAAAAAAACACAAAACGACGCAGTAACGAGTGATATTATTCAGTTTTATAGAGCTTTCAATGATTGAATTGCACTGTAATATGTTTTGAATTTGTTGATTTTTTGTTTCTAATAGACGCGACAGGGAAAAAAGCGATCGACAAAAATTCCGCTTGGAATTTACTCAATTATTAACATAACATGGACATTTGCTTAGTTTATTCGTTTCTTATCGTGTAATTAAAAGTTGGCGAATTGGCATTTGGTTTGGGAGCGAAACGGCACCGAAGTTTATTCAATTGTAAACGCATGCAGATCGTTACTTCATCGGTAATGATACTTTAATCGATGTCGATGACACATATTTAACATTTTGGACGCGAAAAATGAATGCGATTTGACCAGAAATAAAGGCACGAATTTTTTGTACGAGCAAACGTGCATGCGCTTAACTGTGCGATCTCAGAAAATGTGTGGCAAAATGCATCGAAAGTAGTCTACGTGTGACGGCTATTGCATCAATTCACATACTTGACTGCAATTAGCCATACCAAAAACACACCAAGTCACTCACAGAAATCAAAAGACGGAGCAATTTTTGACGCGGGTAAAATTCCGTTGTCCGTTCAGTCAACAGTTTGTTGTGTGTACGCAATAAGTTTTATTGCGTTTGGTTTGTGTCGGTTCGCATATGGTTCTCGTGTATGCCGTTGAAATCTTTCGTATACACATCGAATATACGGCGGTACACTCTTAATTCATTTACAAAACAATTTGATATCTAATGTTATTTAATGCCGTCAGAATGGTCAAACAAGATACAACAAAATTTAAATGGCATTTTAGCGAAAGAAAATATCTAACCACAGCCCAACAACATACGCACACTTCTTATGGAGATGGTGTGGCTTGTTTTTTGTCGTAAGCAGTTTTTTCCTCGTTTTGTTACATTCATGCACATATTTGTGAATCAATTTAATGTGGAATGGTGGAAATTCAACTTGGATTGCCAAGTTTTTCAAGTGATTTTTTTTATTTCGGTGAAAAATGTGACGTGATCGCTTATCATCAATCCAATCATTTGGATTGCATAATTTTGTTTTTCGTTAATTTTGTACAAAATAATATCTACGGAGAAAACCGATTATGACCAATTATACGGTAAGAGGATATGTCGGTTTGTGATGTATGCCAAAAAAAAAATCATGTTTCCAAATGTGCTGTTTCAAGTGCCCGAAATTGTACAATTTTGTGCGAGAAAGATAAGGTGCGTTTTGGGCGTGTCAACCGAAAATAAAATCTGCATAAATTAAATTCAACAAAATCGGCAAAAGAAGCACAGAATACACAGCGATGCCATACACAATCGGAAGGGAACACTGGCGTGTATCTTTTTGGCACAGAAAACATCAAATTTTTTTCCGTATATAATTCGATGGGATTTTTATTTATGGCATATCATTGGATTTTCGATCGTTTAATTCTGAGTCTTACTGGCCCAAATGCGTGTTATCGTAAGCATTTTGTTGTTGCTGATGTTGGTTGTTTCTTTTTTAAATGAAGTTAAGTGGTTAATTTCTTTGTCTTTGATACACACGCCATCAAAATATGTGCCAATTCATGTGGTTTTCTTTATCTATTTTACAATCATCGTTATAAATGCGGAAAAAATGTATGTATTTAGACATCGCATCAAAGTTGATTTTGATTTCATGCTTCGAGAAAAAGAGTTTCATTAAAATTCGTGTGAAATATGTAAATGTGCAATCACATAAATGGCAACTATTAGAACCTGTTTAGATTTTTTTTTCTGTTCGCACTTTGTTTCAAGCACGAGAAAAATGTTTGATTGCTATTTAATTTGGCGATTTTCTTGCATATTCAAATTGTGAACAAGAGAAGAAAATGTGCGCCCAGAAAACAATACACCGACATTTAATGGCCAATTAAAAATGGCTTGGTAATTATACGATATTTTCCATTCATTCAGTTGGTTTTTTTTTGTCTTGTGATCGTGCACGATAGGTAATCTATTTACATACGTCAAGTGTATGTTTTTCTTTTTCGGAAATTTGGTCCATTTTCAATTGCGATTTTTAATTGATTCACCGTGTGTTAATGTCAGTTTAAATATACGCCACATAAAAAATTGACTGTTTCAATTAAATTTTTTCTAGGTTAATGTTAATTCGAAGGAAACTTTAAACAGGCCTCTGTTTGATTGAGAAGTTGTTTACGTACATGTCTTGTTAAGATTGGTCAATGGCAAACCGGGGATCAATATGTGCAATATACATGTGATTTAAATTTTTCGCTTGTGTTAACATCATTATGTTAAATAGCAAATTAAAACAAATGGCAATCAAAAATCCAACAATTTCAATTTTGACAAAGCAACATCTAATTTTATGGTTTGTCCTTAAGACTGCAACCTCAAATGTCTTTCGATCGATTAGAGATAGCAAAAAGTTCTTTACTGCTTCCTGACCTATTAAAAATTTCATAATTTTTATATCATTCTCGACGTGGTTCATAAATATGCAAATGCCGTTTAAAAACGGTTTTATGTTGATCAATCGATCGATGGCTTCGATTTTGTAACGGCCAAAATACTTTTTGACCAATAATTTATTAAATATTTTTATTCAAGTTTATGCAGAATGCATACAAATGAGATTTGGACCGGAGATCGACAGAGACACACATTGGAGAGAAAGAGCCACTACGAACCAGATGGAAACGATGACGTAAACATTCATGACCTTATTTGGACAGTTTTTTTGTATGCATTATGTAAAATAACAAGTTGCGATTGCGGAAAAAGTAGGCTTATGTGTGTTCATTCTGTCGCATATCTTATGGAATTTGGCAGATGATGTGATAATATTCAAATCGGAACCATATACAATTTGAGAACTTTGAAGGATTTGACATTTTTTTGGATCGAAACACTTCAGTGAAAAATTGGCGTCAACTCAATTTTGTAGGTACTCTGTTTTCGAATCGACTCGTGGCTTACTTTTATCGAAGACCGGTTTTTCGTTGATAATTCAGACTTCACGAATTTCATACATATTTTTGCTTCAGTTGATTGTCTTTAGTTGATACTCTCTACCAAATAAGATGCGAAGCATTTTTTTTTATCGCCAAATTATTCGGAATGGTAAATGGCACGGTCTGAACCTGTTTAACTGTGTACGACGATTACTGACTCGAGTTGAAATAAATAACGGATTGGGTAATTCATTATAAAACATAATGCACATATAAATTGCTGGTTAAAAATAAAAAAATAAAAACACCCATGCATTTAAATCGTGAGATTTCGATCAATAATAATGCGAATCAATATTCCAATTCATTGCAATTTCCGACAATCAATTCGAGTTTTTATGCTTAAAAAAAGTCGAATGCATGACAAACGATGCATAAATTGTGCTTAAATCGCGATACTGTGGAATTAATAGCAGAGACAAGCTCAAACGATTTCAAGAGTCTAGCACTTTTTTGGCCATGAAATATTCTTACACACAATGATTTTTTATTTTCACTTAATACTGCATGAAGATGCAATACGCCAACGTCGCCATTCTCACCCGCGCACAATGTACATCAGTTCAAGAATAAAAACCATTCGAACTTCTCTCTGCGTCAGAAAGAAGAGAATCAGATAAAATTATATTGCTTGAGTGTTTTCTTTTCGACTCTAAGAACATTGTCATCGTATATTTCTTTTGATTAAAATTCCCAATCCGCACTTAAGTCATATTCGATATCATGATTTACATACAATTGATTCGGTATTTTTTTATTGCGGTATTTTTTCTTCTTTTTTCGTTTGCCGTTTGCAATTACAGAGTGAACGAACTTAGGCTGACGAGAAAGATTAAATCCAAATTCAAGGGTTTCGTTTGTTTATTTTCGACGATTGAAAATTCTCTTTCATTGTCTTCGCATAGATGAAACGATGTTAAGTGACGTTGATTCGTATATTGATTGCATGTAAACTTAATGCAAAAAGCTGGGTTTTTTTTTCACCCGAATGCCGAGCGTGTGTAATTTTATTGTTTTCATTTGAAATTGTCAATTTCCACACACTCGGTGCGGTTACAAACAAGAGGAACTGGAGTAGTTTTTCTTTCTTTGTTTTTCTTTGGTATTTCGCATGCGATGAGTGTTTGATGTTGCAAAATAACGGAGATAATCCGAATGGAATCGACATTATATCATTTTTTGCTTCAATTTAGCTTTGTTTGATGTTTTTTCGCGGGCTAAACAATCTAAATTAAGTACGATTATGTTGATCGTGTCTATTTAACGGTTACGTTGATGCATTAACATGCACAAAAAAGCAACATTCTCTGCATAGGTATTTGTGTCCTATATATTTTGAACTCAAACTCTGGTCATTACTTTTTTTTTTGCTCTCACACGATTTACAGCAAAAAAAAGTGGTCGCTGTTTTTAGTAATTAAATTCTATATTCATAATTTACATTTCGGTCGTTTGGCTTGCAAATGAAATTGCCATTGGGCAAAATTTTGACGCGCCAAAACTCGTTTCGTGAAATAATCGACACAACAAAACCACACGGATTGAATATGAAATAATGAAATTATATATTAATTTACATCGCAAATTTTATACACACGCACAAAGCGATCGTCATATTTTCTATTTTTATGGTGATTTTTCGCTTTTCGTATTGACTTGAAAAGAAAATAAAAAATTTTGTGAGCCTCCTCACTATTATTATCGCTTGACAGCCAATTCAATGCAGATCCGATAAAATACGATCGATTTTGATCTGATTTGTTTTTATTTGAAAATACGATCGAACTGAATTTCTATTGCAAAGCATCGCTCTCTTTCCTCGACGCTCGCACTTTGATGCGCGCGATATTCCGTTTAATAATCGCGATTTTCAATCAGCAAATAGAAAGTTTTTTTGCAGCATGTAATCGACTAAATTACTATTCATTGATTCCAGTTTTATAAATGCAGTCACATAAGTTTTCGTATTTTCATTCCATTTAGAGAGCACATCTTCTATGCACATATTTATATTTATTTTTCTATGTATTTTTATTTCTACGTTGTTGTTGTTTTTTGCCACGTTTGGTGTGTGTGTGTCGTGCTCGTCGATTGATTACGTTATGCACACAACAGCAAAATTAGCTGTTTAAAATAATCACCGAAAAAAAAAAAATTAAAGAGATTTTCCTTCAACAATTGAGATACACGTAAATTTTCTCTCATTCGTCAAGATGATTCACTTCGGGGTGATTTTTTTTCCGTTCGATAATTATATTTTCGCCGAGAGAGTTTCATCCAGTTAATTGAGAATAATTACAACCGATTTATCAATGGGTGTGTATGTACTGTGTGTGCCGTTTTCCACGGCAACATCATGATGAAATAGATTTGTTTTACTGCTTTCAGCATTTCGATCTAGATTGATGTCGCTTACAAAAGTCATTTCAAACTGTTAATTGTTATTCGTCAATGGACGACGATTGTGAAATCAAGTACAACTAAATATTATATCATTTGTCCACACTATATATTTTTTTTTAACTGAATTTCATAACAGCCAAAACTAAAACTTATCACAGCACATACACTGGAACAATCTTTCGTTTTTGAATCAATTTCCAGATATTTAACTGATTTTATTTCTTGATATGTTTTACCTCCGTTTTTTTTTTGCCGATTTGCCAGGCAAGATAACGTTCAAATGCAATAATTCACGAACAAACGTCAATATTTATATCATAAATTCTTTCAACTACTTTTTTTTCGGCTTCTAAAACATGTTTTGCTATTTTTAGTTCTCTGTGTCACTTAATTATCTTCTTCGTTGAAAGATGGAATGTTTTTATGTCGAAGAATCCATCACTTCAACTTAGTTGGTGTGTGTTTACTTTAAAATTAAAACGGTTCCACTCGAACGAGTGTGTATGGTTTTAAAAATAACGTCTTATATCCAATGTGGTCACCAATGCACTAAACCTGAAGAGCGTACCGTCTTTCGTATAACCAAGAGTTGGCACCAACCGACAGCTAACCGTTAAGTGTGTTCAAGCGCAGACACTCACACGATGAAGAGAGCAATGAAAAAGCTGGAAAGAAAGAGCGAGAATGGCAAAGCTGATGGAACAGCTTTACGTACGTTTCATTGACGAATCAACTTGAACACATACAATGTTGAAGCTCGCAAAACTACTTGTAACACATGTTATCGCATGAGAGACTATACACTGTGTATGTACATGTGCATATGGATTGCACGAGAGGGGTTACAAAAGTTTGGTTGCATCTATGCACACAGATAACACGGCTCACTTGAAATGCAACCGCACAATTTTTAAAATTGCTAGCAAAAAATTCAGATATTTTTAACGCACTTGTTTAGTTTCTATTATGATGGCATTTAATGTTTTTATATCAGAGATATTTAAAAAAAAAATATTTTGTTTTCAATTATTTTGCGACATCTATTGAAAAAATTCGGTAAAAAATCCAGTTATAATGTATTCAAGATTTATTTGTGACTTATATTGTGAAAAATTATGATCTCAATATTGTCGGCTGTGAAAAAAACTCTAAAATGCAGATTGACCCTGAATTTCGGATTTCTTTCTTTTTGTTCCGAAAAAATTGGGTTTTAATTGTAAAAAATCAAATTAAAGTGTTTTATAGTGGACTTTTGTTGATAATTATTTGCGGTATTTGAATTTTTTGAATAAAATCACAACAATATCTACGTGCTTTGGTTAACGTCCATCAAACAATAAGAGTGCGAGTAGCCGAACAAGAGTGCGAGTAGCTCTTATACCAATTGGTCTCGTAACTATGTTTATTTTTGCATTCGAATGAGAAAGATGCGTAGCACATTCAAAATGAGGATTCGGTGAATACAACGAAAGAAATCGAAAAAATGATAATAAAAAAATTAGTTGAAAAAGTAGTTATAATCAAATAATTTTTGTTTTTTTTTTCGAAATCATCTTTTAAATAGATTCTATTTGACCAGTATTGCTCTGGACTATCAATTGTGGACTACATGAACTCTGTTTTAAGTGTGCTACATGCAACTATTGCGTTCTTCGTAAAAATCCCTTTGATCGATTTCCTTTATTATTGATACCATAGTTTAAAGGTTGAGAAACAGAAAAATCAACGAATAAAGTGTGCTAAAATAAATAATGCTAAAAAGTTATAAATTTTATTTCTAATTGGCGCCAATTGGGATAAATCTTTAAAAAACAATTCATTTTAAAATGTTGTTATATATTGAATTCTAAGCTTATTAACATTTGTAAATTTTTAAATAGCGTTTCTGTATGATGATTATCTGAAATCTCGGCCTTCATTTGAAAAAATGTTAAAAAATATTATTTTTGAGTGTAATTCTCTCAGATTACTCGAACATGATAAAAAGGAACTATTTAGTATTCATTAATACATGCAACCTCTTACACTAGCTCCACTTGTGATATTCATTATTATACGCTTTACACAAACGCTCTCATCACCATGAAGAAAGAAATAGCGGAATTAATTACCTAAAATCAAGTAGAAATATTCAAATTGAGTTCAAAATCGATATTGGTCGATCAAAACCTATTCCATAATAATTTTACGAAAATGATACCGCTTTAAAATTTTCCAAAGTGCACGGCATAATTCCAAAAGCGCTGATCCAGAACGGCGATTGAGCTGAACGAATCATAAATGCACAATCTTTTTGCAAGTTTTTCGGAAAAATATACCATTTTGAATCATATGCAGATTCAGCGACTCGTTCAAGACTCGTTGTTAATATATTACCAAAATAACACAACATAAAGAGGAGTTCGACGATGTAAAACAAAGAAAAGAATGCAACGTAAATCGTTGACCATTCCATGTTCTCAGTTGCCTTTTTATGTAGTAAACAAATGCAAATTGATTAAACTGAAGAAAAAAAGGTGAACAAATTCAACAATCTCACCGATTGACCTCGTATCAAAGAACCGCAAATGCTTACAATGCACGGTGTGAATGTAACAAAAATCACCATTTTCATCATATCACCCAAACGATCGCTAAGACTATGGAAAATAAAACAAAAAATAAACAAACTGACCCCTGAAAATTGTCTACCTCGGTTTTTCATACTCCAAAATGTAAACATGAAATTTGAGTAAAGCATCAAATTTGTTATTCAACGCAGGAAGATCGTCTTGTTCGGCAAATGCGTCCATTTCACCAAAGTAAAATTCGAAATCTTTCAAAAATTCCTGAATATACAAAATGATTCCGAAATACATCGACAAGATGGTTATCAATATAGTTGTGCCTGTCCAGCATGACATTGATTGTGTGACATTGACGCCTATGAATCGTCGAGCAGAATTCAATTCGAATGGTAACCTAAATATAAATCGAAAAAATTATACATTTTCATTGAGAACAAATTCTTAACCAACCAAACGTTATTATAGTGAAGGCTCCATGATCGTATGGAATAACTGTCTGCGGCCAAGTTATAGAAAACTACTAAAAATGGACAAAAACTGTCCAAATTCATTAATTAATTATGCAGAAAAAATTCCTTGGTTCCTGTAACATACCCATACATAAACGACCCGCCAAGTGTTAGAATGAAAAAGATTTTTGTCAACTGATGTATGAAGGCTTCGTTATCGGTATAGTAGCTATCATTTCTCGCTGCATTCCCTGCAGAATTTTAAAAAGTAAATCAAATAACTTCATGTGATGCTCAATTGCTTACTTTCTTCGGCTCTCTTTTGAATTTCAAAGAAAAATCCACGAACAGTTTCACGGTTCACAATCACAATGGAAAAACTGCTAAATACCACCACATAAATTGCAGCACAAAACATAAGCTCAGTCGCTACTTTAACATTTCCAATGAAACGAACAAGACTTATGCCACATGGAACCAATGATGACCCCATCAAAATGCTCATCAATATAATTCGAGGTGTGGCCAATGGGCTTTTTGGTCATAAGTATCCAATCCAACTAAATTCTGCAACCATTTATTCCGCTGAAGAGTTATCATTTTCAAAACGATTTACTTGGAATTTAAATTGAATCTTTTTTTTGCTTTTTTGAGTATTTGCTCGACAGATTTTATTTGAATCACTTTTTTGACTACACTTTTGATAATCTTGAAATTTGTATGATGAAATCAATTTACGCGACCGATTCCAAAAAACAGCATCGAAATAATGTTTTCCGCTCGAACATTTTGACTGTTATATACCAAAACTTTATATTAAAATTTAAAACTGTCAATTTCATTTGATGATTTATTTAAAACGATGGCATAAATCTCGGAAAATATGCATGCAATTTGCATGATGCAAATGATGTTGTTCATATGAAGGGTTGAGAACAAAAGTCGACACTACACCTCCGAAGTCAAGTCTGTAATTTGATGTTTACAGATAGTTCAAAATGCTTTGGCGAAAGGAGATTCCTATTTCCATTAAGGGTTTTTGGAGAAAGTGTCATTCTTAAAATAGAAATTCAAATGTGTCTCCGGGATAGTTTCTGTTTTTCAACTGAAAAGTTTACCAATAATACTCTGAAACCATTCCTCATAAAGAAGTGATTAAAAAAACTCCAAAACCCGTCTGTGCTAAAGAGTCTCTAATAAAGACAAAAGTTTGCAGTATTTCCACTTTTATTCTCGTACAATAATTTCCACATAAGTTTGTGTATGTAAAGCAATTTCTACGTCCAAATGTTTTCCATGCATATTTGAAGATGTCAGCAAGAAATCGACATATTTCATCCATTTATTTTAGTTATGTGGAAAGCATACCATGACAAACATCTGAAAAACTGAAACTCATTTACATATTTTATGTTAAATATTCGCTATAAGTTCAAAGTAACATGCAACAGTTTTTAAACTGTCAGTTTATAGCAGGGATTTGATTGCTATTTCACGATATCGACTTAATAGCATCGGGGTGTAATCAGAAAGAAGTTTTGTTTAATGTGTGCTTCAAACAATTCTGAATATTTTATTAAATCAATTGTTTATTTAGATGCATCAAGTATCAACATCTGATAAAACATCTGGAGCATTTATTTTGTTTGAAAATTGATTTTATGCTAGTTTATTTATTCACTTTTTGCGGTTCAGATATGATAAAATCCACAATGGTTTTGCATTGAATATTTATGTGTAAATGGCGCATAATCCGTAAGAGAGTATCTTTTATTTCCATATCCATCGATGTTGAGTGTGAATAATAATCATTTTTTGTTGGTATGCCAACATTGCATTTTATGCAGCGATACATTGTCAATGTTTCGCTAGGCGTGCGCATTATCTTTCTCGTGAATTGCATTTGCACAATAATAAAATGTTTTCGGTGTTGCGGTGCGTCGATCTACACCGTTGAAGTGTGCAAAACTATAAAAATATGAATACATTGCAATGGCAATGGCAAATCATTTCATCGCACATATAAAGTGTTCGTTGTGAGTATACAGTCTAGACATAAAATGATCTCAAACAAAGATTGGGCATTCAATCATCACATTCGATTTCAAACCAACTATTATTGCCTATTAAATTATATTTTACGATTTTTACACTTTATATACCTATATACACTCAAACAGCGGTTGATGAGAGCTAAACAATTAATGTTGTGACTTTGTTGTATGTGTGTGTGTGTCGCTTTCTCGATTGTTTACATTGGATTCACATCCATGCAGCTTCATTGACGACTCAAGTGATGGTTTTTTCAGTCGCTTAAACTCTTTTACCTCCGAATGAGTCGATCTTTTGCTACTTTTTGATTATTATTAGTTTTGTTTGTGCTCACTTTCAATGCGCTTTGTTCGGAATCGTTTTTTTTTCTTCTTTCTTCGCTCTTTTTTAAATATAATTCAATGTGTGGATCGACGGTTTTAAAAATGTTTATCTTTCAATGGGAATAGATCGCTGTTTGACGATCGTTACACTTTTAACGCGTATTCGGTTACTTCGATGGGAATCTCTTTTATGGATCTACTGTTTCAGTGCTTATTGCTTTTGTTCACATGGTATGGCGAGCATTTTATAATTATGTCCGCTTAAGCACGTTGACGAATTGTATTGAGTGCGTGTGACATTAGAGCTGCGATGCGTTTCCCACCTTGGTCATGTCATGTTGATTGATTTCACCGTTTGAGCACACATCAAAGGAATGACCATTTTTTTGGAAAAATAACATGACACTTTATGTCAATGAGCATAATTAATCACATTAATATCGTAAACAATGTCGATAAACGATTCGACATTGGAGGTATCGCAGTCGCAGATCGCAAAAAACCGTGAAATTTACTCAGTTTTGACGTGAGTGTACATCAAAAAATGATCGAAAATGTCCATATTTGAAGTGAACTCCTCTAAGCAACTATGAAATAACTGTCGATACGAAGAAATTCAAAAAGGAAAACAAATGCACGATTCACTTAATTCAAATGTATGGCATGTACACATGGTACGAGGGAAAAATTATTGATTGACAACGCACATTGTGGTCAACGGCAACCTACACACCGTCTTAGCAACAGTCAACAAAAATGCCTACAATTTGAATTCTGATACACAAAATTCCATTCAAGTTTCTAGACGTTTCTGTGCATTGAAGACAATCACTATTTTGAAATTCATTTTGACTTTATTTTATTAATTTATTTTGATATATTATCTCGAAAATCGGTAATCTTCTTTAATTTTGATAGTTTTTCTTTTACTTTGAAAAAATCGAAAATTGAATAAAGTTGAAAAGCAAAAAATCCAATTGAAATTAATAAAAGAGGTGTGGAAAATCCCACATTTGCTGATAAATAATGACGGAAAACATAAAACAAACGGCAAAAGTAGAGGCCGCAAATATTTTACCGGAAATCAATGCAACAAAAAAACCATTCAATTTAACGGAAATTGAATGGCAACGAATGGCGAAAAACATTTACGGTCGTTTGGAGTATGAACGTGATTTATCAAAGGACGTTGAATATGAGGAGTACTTGAAAAATGGTTCTCGTGAGATGACTCAAAAATGGGACAACACCGTCGAAAAGATTCGTCAACGCAAAGTGGAAGCGCTAAAGAAAAAGGAGGAACAAAAAAAGGCTGAAGGTTTGAGCAATAATTTTCTAATAAAAAGAGAAAAAAAAAATCATTGTAAAAAATGGTTAATTTACATGCTCATTATATTTTGTGTGACAGTGCGAAGATGTCTCGAAGCAGTAAAACGACATGACGAAGAAACACGTCGCGAGCGTATTGAATATGCTGAAAAATTGCTGCAACGTTTGAAAGCCGGACCAAAACAATTGGAATCCGCGTACAAGCTCAGCCTCATTTTGAACGAACAAGAGCAACAACGGCGCGAACGAAACAAACAAAGGGAACTGCAATGACAAAACGATTTTATCGAAGGTCAACAATTAATTGAACAGGCCGTCGAATGGATTGAAAATCAAAAAGAACACATACGAAATTATCGAAAACGTTGTGCCCAATACAAAGAAAGTTTACAGAATGACATCAAAGAACGCGAGAAAATGAAACATAATGCAAATCAACGACTGGCCCAACTGGAAGAAAAGGAATTGCAAACAAATACAAAGCAAACACAAGAGGTGCTGGAGAAAGAGCACAAAAATGTCACCGATCGACGTCTTGACCGACAAAATGCCGACTATTTATCGCAGTATAATTTAAAACAGAGGCGTCACAGTAAGGTTTTGATCGATTATTCTTCGGCATAAATTGAAATGTTTTGCTTCTTTTCAGAGGATTTTGTGAAAGTACAAAACGAACAACAACGAATTAATTGTTATCTGGAACAGAAAAGTTTGGATGAGTTCAATCAAAAGTACCAGGAAAAATTGAAAAAGAAACGACAATTTGAATATCGAGACAACTTGGCTAAGAAATTATTCGATAGTTTGCCAGATATCACAAAGGTTGAGGAGAAATGCTATCAAAATGCCGTTAAGGATTTTGCTGATAAATGGAAAGAGCAAGAATATAAGCGAAATAATCATATCGAACAACTGAAATGTGAACGTATTACAAATCATTTGAAAGAGATTGACGCAATTAAACAAATCGAACGGAAAATTCGGCAAGAGCACGATGTGGAAAAGGCGAAACGGCATCTGAACGAGAAAATCGATTTAGTTTTTTATCGCCAACAATATGGTGATCGAGTACAAAGGGCCAAACAACTCAGGAAAATCATTAAACAACAAATCGAAATGAGTGAAAAGTCACGACGTGATGAACTGATAACCAGCCGAATGGAAACAAATCAAGCCATCGAAGCAGCAACACAGAAAGATGACAAACACTTTTTTGATTATGCGAATAAATTGGTGGCTGCCGCTAAAAACAAAGGCATTCCAATACATCCATTGAAAAAAGTTATCGATGAATATACAGTTCAAAATTCGCTACTTCAACACAGCGACGATTTACCACATATGAAATCACAAATTGATATCGGCATTTCACTTGAACGAAAATATTTGACGAAATGAAAAAAAAAAACTAAAAATAAAGAAAATTACATTACTTCGATGCAAAATACATTAAAACAAGCAATCAAATCTGAACATTATACATTTAAAAGGTTTTCAAACCGCTAACGAACGACTTAGCGGTTTAAAGCTTGTTGCTGCGGAAGCTTTTACAGAAGTCTATATAAAACAATGTACAACAACTTTTCAGCATTTACGATAAATATATTTGAAACTTTGTCTGAACATTCAAGAAACAGAATAACGAAATAGATTTTTATTGGCAAAGATCTGCATAATTATTTAATCATTTTCAATAATGTCATCAAAAATTTAGTTTTCTTATCATTTTAAATACTTCAAATTTCAATCGTCATTGGAAGCTGAATTATGATGTTATCAATGTACACGTGTGTACACGAAGTATTTCTGGTAAAATTCGGAAGAATTCATTGAAATAAAAACGACGTAGGAGAGTGCGAAAAAACGTCATGAAAAGAACATCACCAAAAACGTGGTCGCAAAAAGATTATTTTGATTGTTTTAATTGTTTATATTTTTGTCTGGATGACAGACACGACGAAATAAGAAGATTTCCACATCATAAAATGACACACAGAATTGACTTGCATATTTGTCGCAAAACTCAATTGGAAAGTTACACGATCCAGATGAGTAATGAAAACTAAAATATATGGAATATGTATGTTTACATGTTTGATGTTTTGAAAATTAGTATGTTGGCGGCATTAACTATACAGTCTATGAATTATCAAAAAAGGAACACGTTTCAATTATTGTTAGAAATAATAGTTTGTAAGACAAAGAGCCACTTTTTAATTCTACACCCATGTGCACCAAGTTTTAATTTAAGCACTGTGATGTGCTGAATCAGATTTATTTTTCCTTTTGGAAAATTTTATTATGTTTAATCATTTTTAGATTGCGTGAGTATTATATTTATTAATTTCGGACGTAAGTTATAATATTCGTTAAAATAATAACGACGAAGATTCATCCTCAAGATGAGGGCACACGTAGATTGAACCATACGTCATAACCATTTACGTAAAAAACGCATTCGCAATATGTTTTTATTTTATTGAAATGTAATTGATTAATTTCTATTTCTGAAGTACAGGCAAAATGAAATAAAAAATGTTCAAACCATAAAATGACGCGCAAATTCATTGCAAAACTCAGCCAAAATCAGTATATGTAATTATGCAATTTTTTGAAATGTACAACTTTGATAGAAAACCTTCTCATCCCTATGACTGGAGACACCAAGACGTAAGAAGATTTAGAAATCAGACGGTGACGCACATATCCGAAGGAAACATTTGTACAAACAATTTCGATCGGTAAGCGATTCGCATTCAATTTAATATAAAAAGACTTGGGCCTGAGCTACAAATCATCATTCGATGCAGCTCGATCAGCTTGTCTTCATTCAAATTAAATTGAATATTTAACTCAGTCAAAAGCACAACATTTAAAATTAAAATGAAAGTGTTCGTTGTAGTGTTTGTTATTTTCTTGGTTGCTTGCTTTGTGGAAGCTCTTCCAACCCCCGACGGGGAACTTACAAACCCCGTTGGAACACCTCCCGTTGGAACACCTCCCGTTGATACACCTCCCGTTGGAACACCTCCTGTTGATACACCTCCCGTCGATACACCTCCCGTCGATACACCTCCCGTTGGAACACCTCCTGTTGATACACCTCCCGTTGATACACCTCCCGTCGATACACCTCCTGTCGATACACCTCCCGTCGATACACCTCCCGTTGGAACACCTCCTGTTGATACACCTCCCATTGATACACCTCAAGTTGGAGATCTTCCCGTTGATGCACCTCCGACCCTCGAAGGAGCACCTTCGACTCTGGACGTAGGACCTCCGAACCCCGTTCAAGAACTTGCGAACCCCGAAGAGATTTTACCATCGCCAATATGTCCTCCCCCCGATGGAGAGAATGTACCACCAGTTTCAACAAACAACGTAGCTTCATCAAGTGATTTAGGTTCGTTACTTACCATTAGAATAAAATTAATGTCATATTATCTTCAACGTAATATTGAACTTCTTTAAATTTCAATAATTCCACATTCATTCAATTTATATTTTCCTTTCTTTAATTCTAAATAACATTAGGGGAAAAACTCATGGAATTCTTTCAACATTTTATACTGGGTCTAAGCGGAACCCAAGGCGGAACCGGATGTACAGATCAACCTCCACTTACCAACAACGTTCCACCACAAACATCTGGTTTATCAGATCCTTCAGCAATCAATTAATATAGCAAAAATGAATTAAATGAATAATAATACACAATAATATTGCTTAATTTTAAACCAATAAAAAATTGTATTACTTTATAGAATTATGGTACAATAAAGAAATTCATTGCATTCTGGGTTGGAAAATTTACACGTTTTTCGCTTTGACCAAGTAATTTACGTCGAAATGTAAAAAAACCAAAATATCTGGAAATATGATTTTAAAATTGGGTGAATTGATGAATAATGCAATGCATCATTGATGCATTGTGTATAAGCGGAAAACAGAGTTATAAGAAGTCAATTCTGGAATGAGGAGGAAATATTCGTAATATGAAAACGTAATTTAAGTGCCAATCTACGACCACGTAGATTACGGTAATAATTACATGTATTTTACGTCACTTATACACGTCACGTATTTTACGTTCCAACCAAGATTGCATTTTTGATTTAATCTATTGGTTTTGAATAAGACAAAACATAATCAAATACTAAATATGCACCCCAATCAATATATGAATCGGTTAGAATATTTGTGAGCTCAGGAAATTTGTTAAAGTAAAAGAGCAACATGTTCATATAAAAAATGTATGGGCACGTTGCAGTTTTATTTTGAAAAATTTCTTGAGGCCACAAATATTCTAGGCGCCTAGTGGGTGGTTCATATGCACATTTGCATAACAATGTTTCAAAATCAATTAATTCTACCACAAACTAGACTACAAATTAATCAGTGTGAACTGTAGTACTCGCATTTGAATTATGATGAGCTTTAATAGTTCAAGTACTTTGATTTGTTCATAGCGCTTTTGAAATGATTAAGCGATAAATATAAA